CTGTGGTGGTGCGGTGGTGTAGTGGTTAAGCACATTGGCTCCCAAACGTGAGGTCACGAGTTCGAATCCCGACTGATGCCAACATTTTGCTTTTTCTCTTGATTTCTGGTAGGAGTGCAGAAAGTACTGCTTTCTAGCTATCTTGTTGATTTACATGCATTCTTGGCACGGCTACATGAATGTGCCAGAAAATGTGTGGTTGTTGTATGAAATTGTTATTACCTCATATTTGTACATAGAAGAGGTGCATAACTGCAGAATGCTGGAATTTTACAAGCACATATGATATTCTTTCACAAAATGGTCAAAACACAGCAGTTTCTCGCAGTGAGCACAATTAATAAAGAAGAGCTCTCTACAAACAGTGTGGTCGCACTGCCCCAAGAACCCAGACGAGAAACAGTACTGAAGTGCGGTCTACATATGATATCAATAGAATGTCAGACCTAACATGCCACTTGCGGTGACGTGGCACTCCACAGTCAAAATGCCAATGCTTTGATTCACATTTTATCCGGACAGAACTGCCCTAAGTTGGTGCTGGCGTGCTTCGTGAGGAACTTTGGTTCCTGCGAGACCACGCGCACACCATCAAGGCAGGAACGCAAGATAATATGCAACTTTGCCTCTATCTGCGGGAGGCGAAGTACAACAATTTGATTGTGGACGCGGACGAAGGGACATACGTAAAGGAAGATGATGAGGACCCATTATGGAGTGCTGGTGACGAAGAATGCCAGAAGCTGGACAAAGCGTTGCAGGAAGCCCTTGCCTTCGGCGAGTCGAGGTTGCGAAAGAAGAGTGTGTGTTCCCATAATATAATTACACGCGATAAAGAATGGCAAGTTCGCAATGCAGGTGAACGAGGCATTAGCATTCTACCGTTCGTTTGCCGAATGGAGCCGTTCTGTCTCATGTATGAGCAAAAGATTTCGGTTCATTCTCTAACAAATATCGTGTGGAGAAGCTGCGACAGCTTGAACGAAATCGTGAGCTAGCCAATAAGTTTAATTTCATTGAATCCTCACCTGTGTTGTAAAACTGTCACCAATCAGGAAATGCTCATGCGGACCGGGCTTATCTAGCTGCGGAAACACCAACAAACTGAAGAATGAGGTGATGGCAAAGCTCAATACAGGCATCACATTGCATGATAGCGACATCCTTCGCATGACACTCAAGATCATCAAGGGATACGCGTTGATCCAGAACTTCAAGGCAAGCCATGGTTGGATTCAAGGTTTCAAGAAAAGCTGTGGCGTCGGCTCCTGTCGCATCACAACACTATTTCCAGAAAGAGCTTCCAGGATAGAGATCGTGTTACTGAAGAAGCTTGAAAGTTCATTCTGGAAGTGAAAAAGGTGTGCATGCGTTCAACAGATTCTTTGGTGACTTTGCCTGCTTCGTTGCTAGCGTGATTTTGTTTCCAGAAATGGAGAAGTGGCCGTTGGGATCAGTTTGCGGATCGGATCGAGTAGGATTTTTTGAGGGAGTCGCACACAGCCCGATCGCTGGCCATTAGAGGTTCGAGGAGAGTTGAAAGAGTGGTACAGTCAGCATCGGCTACAACGCAATCCTTCACTACAATGCCACAATTGTTTGCTGACGGACACCTGGGAAAAACACTCTTTGTGGTAATGCAGGTCCGTTGCACGCAGATTAAAAACTAATTTACCTCGTTTAACTAGTATTTTCACAGGAGCCTAACGGAATATTCCCTTGCAAAGGGCATTTCCAAGCTTCTAATCTGGTGGTTCGAGCAAGCACAATTCATATTATGAGCAAAGAATTGATGCTGGATCGGATTAGATCATGCGTAGCGTCTCAAGAATCACCACAGTCAACACTTCTCGTAGTTGACTCGTGGAGTTCTTTCAAAGACCATGAGTCTATCCACTCTGCATTGCCATCTTATAAGCAGGTGAAGGTTCTTAATATACCGGCAGGCACAACATCCTTGATTCAGCCCCTAGACGTATTCTTCTTTTTGCCCTTCATGTCCATGTATGAACGTTTGTTTCCTACGTCACTGTGCACGTCTGTGCGTCACTATGCACCTCTTCTATGTACAAATATGAGGTAATAACAATGTTTCATACAACAACCACACATTTTCCGGCACATTTATGTAGCCGTGCCAAGAATGCATGTAAATCAACAAGATAGCTGGAAAGCAGTACTTTCTGCACTCCTACCAGAAGTCAAGAGAAAAAGCAAAATGTTGGCATCAGTCGGGATTCGAACTCGTGACCTCACGTTTGGGAGCCAATGTGCTTAACCACTACACCACCGCACCACCACAGTCCAGTGCTTCTCCAATTGAATTTGTGTTACAGGAACAAGAGGGTCGAGGAGTGTATGCTACCATGCTGGGTAAAAGCAGTCCGTAGCTCCTTTCAGGGAATCGGTAAGCAGATTTGAACTCAATATTCGAAGACACATCAGTCGGTATACATCTCATTACGACCAGCCGGATTGACCTATTGACCTTCCCTGGTAAGAAGAAACCCCACGACATAAGCCAAAGCCAAAAACTCACCAAAAGAAAACGGTGCGGTGGTCTGCGGCGGGTATGATCCACTGTAGCTTTCCAGTACTGTCAGCAGGTCGCAAAAGGCATCAGTATTGCGAGGTAAGCGCCCGGCGTTGATAAACAGAAGAAGGGTAACCCTAGTTTATGACGTTAGACCGCGTCTCATTGATCACATGGCAAAAGCCGCATAATTTGAACTATGAAACTGAGTAATCCACTACACTTGCTACTGACTTCCACTCCACTTTTTTAGGCACCTTGACAAGTTCTTGCGGAAGAAATACTTCAGAAACCAAGATGATGTAGAAAGTGCCTTCGATGAGTTCATCGCCTTCCAGTACCCCAATCCTTCACTATATTGACATCAGGAAGCTCGTTTTTCGTTGCCAGAAGTGCGTTGATTGTAATGGCAATCACTTTTAATAAATAAATTCCGTTGCAGCTTCTTACAATAATTCAGATTTACAGTAGGAAAACCTGCTTTTCTTTTACACCAACCTAACATTTTGGAGCTCAGTTTCTTCTAATTATTCATACATATAAACAGTTTCGACATAAAAGTACTGTCGCATACAGTTGCTAGAAGTCCATCTCATCATGGCTGAGCTAACGACTCTGTTCACAACAGCTCGGACTGGACTTACGGATTGCAGGGACATGTGGCCAAAAGTGCCCGAATAATCAAGAATTCAATATGTCGTATATCTTGCACCTTTTTTTGCGAGTGAAAATCTTACTCATGCTGTATGGATGGTGGTTCTGAGGAAGTCGCACATTCTTCACGGGGCCTCGCGACAGCAGATCACTATTCCGCATTTTCTCGAGACCGTTTTTTCTTTGGTCGTTTTCAATGCACGATTTGTCTCCCCTGGCCTTTTCTTCCAATTCAAGATCCACCTCTCCATTCAAAGTTCCCTAGACAGAAATACAATTATGAAGTTGGCGCATGAATACCAAGCACATCGTCTAGATGAAGACGACTTAACCTCATCTTTGTTGATCAAATCGTTGAACAGAGAAGGTCCGTTGCCACAAAATTTTGAAGTTGTAGCTGTTTTGTGAGCTAACGCTGATGATCTGATACTTTGCAGCGAGACAAAATCAGACGGACTTACATTGTTTGCAACCTGGAAAATGATTGTACAAAAGAAGTAATAAATACTGCAGAAATCACATAGAACACCTTGTCAGCTTTACGTTGTGCGGTGGATTCACCAAGGGTCAGTTTTTCCATTATGTCAGACAAATCCCGATCCATAGAACTTGCTAATACCGGCGGAACTGCTCGAGCAACAAGGCATGATCCCTTCTTCTGCTCAGAAAGCATCTGTGAAAATTTTACTATTAAGGCTGCACAGATACGAGTTACAACATCAACGTTTTCATTTTTCGGCCAAACAAAGTATGTATATCGGAGCCTTTGTGATGCACGATGTTATGACAAGACCGCCTTTTTCAGAGGCCTGAAAGCATCTTGAAATGTTTGCTATCGAATCTGCTCAAAACAGATTCTTTTGAACCAGTCCCAGTCAAGACCATGAACTACAAACGGAAATAAAATGTGAGGAAGAGGCAGCATTAGCGGGCTCAGTCATCTCGCACATCAAGGCCAAGATCCTCGGAACTGAATGTCGCAAGTTTCGATGACTTGCTGCTCTAGCCCTCTAGGGTGAAGTCGAAGATCACGATGAAGAGGATGGCGTTGACATGGCTCCTGATACTGTCTCTGAACTAATACTGACAATCCTGCGAAGGAACGAGGTACACTTAGGAGAACGACGCTCAAAGACATGACAGATGGGCCTTCAGCGAGCCCTTTATAGCCAGTCCGAGAGTGGACAACTGTGAGACGCCGCTCTATCTTGACGAACTGTTTCTTTTTCTGGAGACCACTTGCCACGGAAGCCTATCAAACCAACGTCTACGGAGCCGTCCATAACTGGACTCTTACAAACAGAAAGAACCTTCTCCGGCCACTGATTGTAGATCCGATAATCATGACTGGTCGCTGAAACCTCAGAGCTTGGCTAGAAATGGACATTTGACTGCCGGATATCATGGCCAAGAATTGGTTAGAAGAGAACTAAAAATATCTTCGCTTTGTCGGCAGCGTGCTTCACAAGCTGCAGCCTATTCTCGACTATACAAGTAACCGATTTCAAGCCATCTAGAGATCTAAGAGCTGCACATAGACGAGACGAGGTGCCAGTCACAGGGTGGAGTTTCGTTTTGACAGTACAGTGGAACAAAGAGTCATCGATGTAGAAGCAAGCTTTGATCTCACGCGCTGTACTGGGGGAGGTGGAGTTGATGAACGGTGCAGTAGACCAAAGGGCAAGATGCAAGAAACTTCGTTGTTTATGTTGTTCCCAATTATTTAATGATGCTGATTGATCGCATATTTACTATCGCCTTGTGCGCATGTATCAATGCGTGTTATATATCGACCCGTCGGATCGCCCGGCGACGCCGAGCTCTCCTCCTTCTCTTAGCCCCGGGCGGTGATGGCTTCGCCAAGCGCACATCATAATGGGAGGGAGTTTGTTAGCTAACTGAGCCGATATTGCGCGGTAATGATCGAATCATATTAGACAGAGCAACCCAGCGGGTTCAGCACTACTGGTCCACTCTAAAATTTGCAGGAGGGGTGATGGTCTGGGCCATAACGCCCCGCTATACATAGCTCTGAGATTACATGTTCACGTTTAAAGACCTTGAACACGATGTTCACTTTAAATGCAAAGGACACTTTCAAAAACGAATTTAACCATCGGACACTTTTCAAAATCAAATCGGACACTTTTCAACAAAGGCAAATCGGACACTTTTTTTAAACCAAATCGGACACTTTCAAATCAAATCGGGCACACCCCTTACAATTAGGTGGTTGGTGACTAGACTAGGTACCGTTGCAAGCCCCGCCCCATTATCTCCGCCCATTTCTCATCGCGGACAGAGCTTTCCGAGATGCTTCACGAAATCTGCTCCCTCGACTTTTTTCGTTTTTGCCCTTTGCACACACACTTCAACTGAAAAAGATTGATACCTATACAGATCTGACTCCGCCCACTTAACAATGAAGTTACGTAAGTTCTGAATTTTTATAACTTTTTTCGACGTAGTTCTTTTCACATCCAATCTTCACAAAACGAATAACCATGCACAGCACACCAGGCCCCGCCCCTCTGACCCCGCCCACTTCTGTTTATCGCGGATTTTTGGTTTTTCTTCTGGATTTTTCGTTCTAGGCTTTAGCAATTGGCTCCGCCCACCAATGGAAGCCCCGCCCGCTTTGGGGAGTCCGCGCCCACCTTTTTCGAAAAGATGAGGCAAATTCCGGCGACTAGTCGTACGTACTGGCGGATTAACGGCCTCTCCGTCGCTTCCAGTAACAAAAGTTTCCCTTTTTTGCCGGTTTTTTTTCCCTTTTTTTCAAATTCTGTGTGTGAGAACTACGTCAAAAAAGTTATAAAATTCAGAAACTACGTCCTTCACTGCTGAGTGGCGGGTCAGATCTGTAATAGGTACCAAACTTTTTCAGTTGAAGTGTGCGTGCAAAGGGCAAAAACGAAAAAAGTCGAGGGAGCAGATTTCGTGAAGCATCTCGGAAAGCTCTGTCCGCGATGAGAAATGGGCGGAGATAATGGGGCGGGGCTTGCAACGGTACCTAGTCTAGTCACCGTGCAACCACCTAATTGTAAGGGGTGTCCGATTTGATTTGAAAAGTGTCCGATTTGGTTTGAAAAGTGTCCGATTTGGTTTGAAAAGTGTCCGATTTGATTTGAAAAGTGTCCGATTTGGTTTGAAAAGTGTCCGATTTAAAGTGAAAATGGTATATATCTACAGAGCTATGTATAGCGGGGCGTTATGGCCCAGACCATCACCCCTCCTGCAAATTTTAGAGTGGACCAGTAGTGCTGAACCCGCTGGGTTGCTCTGTCTAATATGATTCGATCATTACCGCGCAATATCGGCTCAGTTAGCTAACAAACTCCCTCCCATTATGATGTGCGCTTGGCGAAGCCATCAGCCCGCAAAGGCGGGCTAAAGAGAAGGAGGAGAGCTCGGCGTCGCCGGAGAAGTCGAGGGAGCAGATTTCATGAAGCATCTCGGAAAACCTCTGTCCGCGCTGAGAAGTGGGCGGAGATAATGGGGCGGGGCTTGCAACAGTACCTAGTGTGGTCTAGTCATCAACCACTTAATTGTAAGGGGTGCCCGGTTTGATTTGAAAAGTGTCCGATTTGGTTTGAAAAGTGTCCGATTTGATTTGAAAAGTGTCTGATTTAAAGTGAAAATGGTATAGATAGGAAGTACGGTCGGCCAATACAGCGCAATATGAACACGAATAGCGCTGTAGACAAACAAATTCCGTTTTTATTAGGTACATCGCAACGCCTACGGATGAGCGCTTAACATTCCATTAGCATGCCAGGCGACATACATACCACCCCCTCCCCGCTCGCCATCGCTACATGCGTATAATGCTTGCAGCGTAAAGGCTCTACCACCTCGAATTTATGACGAGGGCAATGTTCTTTATTAGTCCCTATCAGTTGTGATCACTTTCTGTCATCCACCGTCGATGTCGCTGTGTCTTGCGTTATGCATATGGAGACCTTCCCATTCAAACTCCCCTTATCAAATCTGATCAGTTCCTAGCAGTTCTTGTCACCCACCAATAATATTTTCCCATAGCCTGTATCATATCTTGGAATCAACGTCCAAACGATGCTGTGACGCGCGTTATAGCCTCAGTGACCCTCACACTCTGACGCTTCTTATCAGATCTTTTGAGCTGGTATCACTTCCTGTCACCCAGCAGTAATGTTCTTGTCCCATACGCTGTTTGATATCTTCGAACTAACGTCCCGCTGCTGTTGTGACCCGCGACCCGCGCTATGGACTTGGTGGAGCCTTCTCCTAGTGACGCTTATAAGCTGATATCAGTTCCTGTCACCCACCAATAATGTTCCCATGACAGCCCCTATATCACTCCTCGAAATCAACTTCCCAGCTATATTGCTAATAAATTTTTTATTATTTTGTAAGTCCTCCCTTACATCCGGGTCTTCTGCAGCTTTCCGTCCGTTCCATCAAACTTAGCAATGACACTTTTGTACTGTTTGATGCCTAGCGAGCCTACTTTTGCGATACTCCCCACGTCCCCCGCGGCCAAGTACGAACCCATTTTTGGGGATTTCGCATGAAAAGAGGGCTGTTAAACGTAGCAGTTAAATCTGTAAAGAATACACTCATAATAATTTTCATTTTTTAACATCTTGACTTCCATAGCTCCACTCCCACTATCAACTGAAATGTCAAAGCATTGCCCGGCTCTGCCTTGAGATTACGACCCCCCCCTCCCCAGCGGCCAAGTACGACCCCCCCCCTATGGGTTTCGCACAACGATGCTGTACCCTGTTGGTGAATCGCACATCATGATTATTGCAACAAAATACTGTCGGACAGCACTGGCTGATCCCGTCTCACAAGACGGATGATGGCTGTCCCCGGGTGTCCGACATCGTCGACAGCATATTCATGCTGCTTTTACACACTGCGACAGGAGTACACGGATTCTACGCTTTTCGGAATGCGAAAGGCGATGATTCGAGGGGAAACGCAGGCTGGTCGATCGGCGCCGGTCACTAGGAAGTCGATCGGTGGCGGTCACCAGATTGTTGCGACGCCGAAAACAAGTTTCGAAATCGTAATCAGGACCACCGATTGCCCCTCCAGACAAACTTGTGGCCGAAAAGTTTTTGACCTTCTTGTGTTTGGTATTGAGTTATTCCCAAAAGTGATTCTATGAAAACGTACTTTCCCTAGTTAATCAAAACTTCCCATTCATTGATACAGAAGCATAAAACTAACAACAACGATAAACTTTATGGGGAAAAAAGAGAAAAAGGTAATTATTCCTGCGGATGCATCTGAAAACGGAAAAAAGTTGAAGAAGTCTCTTCTCTTGGTTGAAGAGGACGACATCTTTGTTAAATAAGCAACGGCTAGGGGTCGACAAGTGTCCACGATGGTTTTTTCACGTAATCAGCGGCCACCCCGGGCTTATGCCCAGCAATGAGAGGACCTTGGGCGAAAAAAATCTGCGATACTGCTGCCCGGCGGCCTGCTAAGTCATCGTTACGTCATCGCCCCTACGAAGGTGTGAGAATTCGCTCATCATTGACGACCAAAAGGTCCACCACAACCCGCAGAAGACAAAAAATTTTTTAGCTGAAAGTCTGCCTGTAGTATAAAAGTTTGCGCTATGAACTTCTTTCTCCGTGCGCAGATTCATCCAAAAAAGTTGTCCCCTTGGGTAGTTTG